AATTTGGGTAATCTACTTTCTCTACGGGAAGCGCTGCTGAAATTTCTACAAATCCAAGGAGTTCGTCAAAATTTTGACTTTTCAAAGTTCAACCTGTCTGAATTTTATATATGGCTTAGTAGAAATCTGGGAAGTCTCCTTTTCTAAACGGAATGGTGCCCAAATTTCTGCTAATTCAAGGAGTTAGAAAAAATTTGGACTTTGGAAAGTTGAAGACTATTTTTGTCTTCATATTCAGGCTAATATAAATTCTGGAAAGGCATTTTTCCTACGGGAAGCGCTGCCGAATTTTTCTTAGTTTAAAGGAGTTAGATTATATGTTGACAGGTGGCGATTCTAACAATTCACCCTGAATAGGGGAAATGTTGCCATAGGTCTGCCTAGCGTTGGGCACTAGCTTGGAGGCAGGTCTAGGCTTAGTTTGTAGATGGGTCTTGGGTGAGGATGTGCTATGGAGCTGTACTTTCCATACACTTATGATTTTAGCTTGAGGATTGGTCTGTCTTGTGTTTCAGGTCTTCTTAAATCAATTGATTCAGGACTTGGGTTAGATTCAGCTCGATCCCACAAGGATCACCTTCTGTTATCACTGATAACAGGTCGGTTGCCGATTCGTCGGTTCACGATTCAACTCTAATTCACTCCTGCCACTCAACCTAAAGGCTTTGGCCTTGAGATTTGAACTGTTTTGTTGTGTTTTTGCCCAGATTTTATTTGAATGGCCATTTAAAGAAAGGTATTGAGTATTTCATTTTGAGGAGTTGCACAAGAGTGAGGCTTGCATGGCTAAAACAAGGAGTATGAGTGCAGGGAATGGTTGAAGTTGACACCGTGTAGTGCATGGACTTTTGTTGAATCTTTGATGTGATTTCAAGTATGTTTGTGGTTCGGATTCTGGATTTGATTGCATGCGATCGCATACATATATATGGCCGAGAGGAGTTCCACTGTGAGAAGTGATCGTCCCATATAAATAACCCTTATGTATATATTTAAATGTGTCTTGGGTATTCGCGCGGCTTACTGTGACCGTGCGTAAGGGTTTAACAGATTATGTTTTCGAGAGAAAAGGGAGATTTTTTGTTATCCTTTGCTTTTTATAATTTCTATGGTTGGACGTTGTAGTCCGTGGCAGCCGTCAAAGTCAAACCCCTTGATTTCTCTCCAGGCCCTAGATGATGGAGTTGGTCTCCAGGGCGATAAGAGACGATTGCCACCACAGGTATGAACCCGTGTACCACCCACTCTCCGCAGGGTGCAGAAGAGGATGTGGTTCTCAACCGCACTTGGCGGTTGTCCAACGTCGAGAGATTAACCCTCAGGGCGCATGTCAGCCGACACTTGAGTGTCGAATGAGGCCCTCGAGATTAACGAGGACCACATGAGTATGGGTACTACATAGTACGTCATCATTGCGACCGCTTGGATACGCTTGCATTGCGAGTCGATATGAGTTAGCCCCGCGTCTGCACGGTTTTATACTAAGTCTTGCGCGCGACGCCTATCTGATTTCCGCATCGGGGAGTTATGGGATGACCACTAAGGGACTAGGAGTGTTGTCGCGTTGTTTGTTCAAGTGTCATTCTGTACATGTGTATGTACGTGCGTGGGTGTGTGTGCTCTTATTTTTATGTTCTTTAGAGTGGTGTATGCGTGGTGTGTGGGATTCGTCCTAGTCGACCGACGACGAGTCGCACTCGAGACCTCAGCCCCCCAAGATGTCAGTTCGCATACGGGTTCGATAGAGGCGTAATACCGCACGTAGACCCTATGCTACAGCGAACGAGAAACGCCCTCGGCTAGTCCACCTCTGCGATTGCAACTGATCAACTTTCATATTGTGGACTGGTAGCTCGGCGGGGATACGCCCACCGAAGGGAGGTGACAACTCCCCGTAAGGTGGAGGTAAGTCATGCCTCGCGTAGGCCCTATCCTGTCGTAGGGGCTCGCGGGAGGTATGGCTGGCGCACTTGGCTGGAGCGGCTTGCGCTTCATGTATATTCGTGACGAGGATTTAGACCAACTCCTGAGTGACGCGGCTGGGAGGGTCCCGCGCTGCCTTGTGAGGTGTCGGACCGATGCGCACGACACTGCCGCCCTGCAACTCATATTTTTAAAACATGCAACCGATGTACACCGTATGTTGAGGCTTTTTTTTTTTTTAATTCGTGCTCACTGCTTAGCATAATGGACTACTAAACATTGCGCTGCATCGACCGCTGATATAAAAAAAAAAAAGGAAAAAAAAAAGAGATAACAGTAAACATTGCACTGATATTAAAAAAAAAATTGAATTGCATCGACCACTGATATAAAAAAGAAGAGAACAGTTTCCAAATGCAGTATACAACAATAGATTGCATGATTGCGCTGATATACAATTAACAAACAATCGCAAGAGACCAGAAACAGGGTGAACTCAATCGCATGAATGTATGTACAACGCCAAACCCGCTGAAAGCCTGAAACCAACTCTCTCTCTCTCTCTCTCTCTCTCTCTCTCTCTCTCTCTCTCTCTCTCTCTCTCTCTCTCTCTCTCTCTCTCTCTCCCTATCTATCTATCTATCTATATATCTATCTATCTATTTATCTATCTAT